GGCAAAAAACCCGAAAAAAAATTAAAAATTTTTTTTATCAAAAACTATAAGTCCGGGAACTGAAAGCTTTGTTGAGACGTATACTTCGAAGTGTCCTCCACAAACTGCTGGAAAAAAACGGGTGGGGACCCCCCCCCTTAAGTCGTTTTACAAGCGTAAATTTGCATATTTTCTGTGGGTCACAATTTTTTGTGTGATTTCATGTGAATAGCGGGGAAATTCTCTGTTTTTCATAACTTCATTTAAAATAGATCCCATATTCGTAGTTTTCCTCCAGTTAGTGTTCACACAAGCCTACAGTTCGAAATAAAAAACTCGCTGCCTGTGTGACTGCAAAAGATAGATCCCTTCATAAACCGCACTCAACTTTATTTCAGTACTTCTAAAGGTGTCCTGTTCCTTAATGGAGTTTTTCATCACTAGCTTTCCTGCCAACTGTATCATTCACTTTTTCCAGACTGTCACAGTGATCTGCTTTGACTCGAAAATGTGCCAGGAAAGCGCAGACCTATAGATTACCGAAATTATCAAGTTAATAAACTTTGTAATAAAGACAGAAGATAAAGTAGTAATAAATAATCGAGAATATAAGAAATATAACACTGCTATGAAAATCATTTTCAATAAAAACTTTTATTTACTATCGAGCTTTCGAAGCCTTTCCAACATGATCTTCAGGCCTGAAGATGATGGCCTGAAGATGATGTCAGAAAGGCATCGAAAGCTCGCAAGTAAATAAAAGTTTTTATTGAAAATGATTTTCATAGCAGTGTTATATTTCTGATATTCTCGATTAGAGAGTTGTTAGTACTTCGGTATCGGTATCAAGACTGCTTTCGCCCAGTACCGAAAATTTCGGTTCGGTACCAGGAAAAGTACCGGAAAGTTTGATACCTACGGAAACAATTAAGGCATGGAAATCTTCCTGATTTAAGGAGGGAAAAGCTCCTTCTCAGTTCAAAAATAGATTTAGATAATAAAAAACACTTCGGTACTTTCAGTGTCGAGTTAGTACTGAAAACTTCGGTACTTTCGGTACGGTTCCAGTGATTGGTACCGAACGCTCGGCACCGGGACCACACAAGTACCTGTACTAATAATTACTTATCCTCGATTAATAAACTTTGGTTTTATATGCAGTAGCACATCAACTCACTTCAGGATGTTTAGCTCGTCTGGCATCTTCAATCTTAGCATTTAACTTTGGATTATATTTTTCCCAAGTGGTTTCTGACATTTGATAAGCCCATACAACTTGCCGGGCAACTTCTTCTAATCGTTCGTCCTCGCTTATTCGACTATTCAGGTCTGAAAATCTGGTCTCAGCTTCTAGAACACCGTCTTTCGGACCGGACAACTTCAGCCAGCCGCTAATAATGTCCATTTGCAGTAGCACATAACGTTCTACGCAAAACTTGAAATACTCATTGATCGTCAGCTGAGTCCACTTGTGTAAATTATCTTCACTTCGTCTTTCCCTGATCAGTGTCGAAGTTTTAATATGATTTTCAATTTCTTTTCGACATTCCAACTGTTTAGTTTTGTTGGCCGATGCTACTGTAACCTTGACATCTGAAAAAGAATTAAACTACTATCCGTACCAAAAAGCAGTGTCCCTGGCTATTTCGTGAATAACTTTTGATAGAAGAGTGTCAGAGACTTATGATTTCCAGTTTTGAATTTAGACACTTGAAGGCGTCTTTTAGCAAGAGAAAACTACTTTCTCCAAAAGTTGGAAACCTGGTTTTCCGGAGGATCTTTGGAAAACTACCCCTAGTTTCGAAACTTTCTATAGAATTTTTCTTGCTTTTTACATGATTCTGTACATCTGAGTGTCCCCTTTTCAAATTCGAAAGAATTAAGTTTCTATCTCTCAAGGTTTCGGAGTTACAGGCATTTTCCAAGGATAGGGCTGTTTCGTTTTGGTCAATTTGGCCTAACTAAAAAAAAACATCAGATCTAGATAATCAACCATGTTGATCACCGTGGCAATGTTTGTTTTCGTGTGCAAATCAAAATAAGGTCAGAAAATGAAGAAAAGCTGAAAACTGGTTTTTGACCTTTTACCTGCATAAATTAAAAACTATGGCTCAAACTTTCAAAAGGTACTCAGAACAGGTCAGGAATTATAAATCAAGCAATAAAAACTGTCTGAAACTGTACCGATTCAACAAGGTTCTATGCGAGATTTCTGAAAAACCGTCTACAGTCAGTGACTTCTATTCCGTCTTTTTCCAATTTAACAATGATTTTTAGTCCGCTCTGAGTTCCTTTTGAATGTTTGAACCATATTGAAGTTGAAATGACCGAGCTAGAGAGTTTTTAATTTATGCAGGTAAAAGGTCAAAAACCAGTTTTCAGCTTTTTTTTTCACTTTCTGACCTTATTTTAATTTGCACACAAAAACAAACATTACCATGGTGATCAATATGGGTGGTATCTAGGCCTCTGACAAACCACAAGTCTCTGACACTCTTCTATCAAAAGTTATTCGCGCAATAGCCAGGAACACTGCTTTTTGATACGGATAGTAGTCAGAGATGCATCGACTTAGACGTTTACTACATACTGGCAACAGCAAGCGATTGTTGAATAACTCCAGTGATTGTTCCAAGTTTTCTACAGAACTCTTCATATACGCTCGTTTGCGATGGCAATAGAATGAAGCAGATTTGGAGGCTTCTTTTTGTTAATTCTAACTGATTTAATGCTTCTTCAATCATTTCATTGGCAACCGTCTCAATAGAAATATTCAACTGACCACAGCCTATTGCCGGAAAACCGATTTTGCTATAGTTAACTGGTTGATTAATAATATACTGAATTGCTGTTGCAACAAAGTTTCGTATTGATTGTCGTAGAATTGTATCGGTAGAATCTGGTTTCCAAGAAAGAAAAAGAATTTGTTTGCATGGAAGTTTACCCGGTACTGTTTCAATCAGTCCTCCGAGGTTGTTTGCCGATAATTTCGTTGTATATTCTGATGATGCGACGTCTCCTGCTTTTTCCAAGATATTTTTTCGCAAATAATCGGATGAATAGCATACTATAACTACGTCAACCTACTCATGACAACGGAAAAAATACAATAACCATCAGAGAGCAGCCGCATCAATCGAAAAGGAATTCACCTCCTAAATCTAATATTTCATCCTGTTAATGACGACTCATAAGTGTTCGGAAACTTTCTTCAGAATTATCTACTAATCTTTTGCATTCATACTTCTTTCACGTTCTACAAATATTTGTGTGTTCCACGACCTAATTCTCTTCAGAATTTTAGTCTAAATATTATCCTTTGTATGGATAAATGAGAAATAACCTGAGTCGATCTCCTAGAAACACCCCTCTTAACCGCCTTATTGTTGTAGCTTTAAATCACCAGCTTCAGCCGGAAGAATCACAAAGGAAAGCTTTAAGCATGTCATGAACATCTGACTTCTGGCTCAGAAATAATCTTTACCACATAGAGAACTATTTCTCAGTAAGAGAGAAGTTTTCTGCGAAGGAAAAATTTTTCAAGAAATTCTCGAAGAGAATCGTCGTTCTCTTAATTCTTAAAATCAAAGCTTTTTTGTTTGACAAATATTCGTGTTGTCCATCGATTGGTGTAGTTTTACACAATGATTCTGAAATCGTCTTGGTTTTTACTCAAAACGTTTAGGCTGAAAAGATGGATTTTACATGGAAAGGTCTAAGACAAAGGGAGCAATCTCGCGCTTATTTTACAGCTGCGGTGTATGTAGAAGAACATTTTGGTAAAATTCAAGGTATGCTAAAAAAGGCGGTAACGAAACTCACTGTTTAGGATTTTACGATAGATTTATTCCAGTTAGCCTGGAAAAATTCTGCATCTTTGGTATTCTAAGTCGAATGTGAGAATGTTCTGATGAAGATATAGCGAAATGAGATCAGCTTCAATACCCTTCTTGTGATTCTTTCATGACTTAATTCAGAGCTTGCAATTTTTTGAAGTTCTGTAAGCTGCTTTTGATCAGTTTTTTAGTAATCTTCGTCTAAGTATTTTCCTGTGGTCTTCAAAAGTTATAATAAAAATTGCTTTTAAGAGTAGATAACCTATCTCCTGAAGTTTGTTATCTCAATTTTCCTTATTCTGAAAAAGCTCACTTTAGTTGCCCACTCAAAGAGTCTCAAAAGAACTTGACTTCCGATGTTCTCTCACATTATTTTAGAAATTAATCTGACATACCAATTGCTGTGTTAAATCACCAACACAAATCTCAATTTTTCCATTTTTTCTCGCTATACACTGAGCCGAGATTCCACCACTACCAATAAAGTCATTTCTCGGTATGGTATAATTTTTGTTAGTTATTTCAACTGTAGTTTCTACATAACATTCTTTTTGCCGTCCAATTTCAATGAATTTTTGACATTCCATTTTGGCAGAAGGGCTTGAAAAGCTCATGTCTTCAATCTGAAATGTAATTTCGTCTAGACTGGCTAATTTCAATATTTTTGATTCAATTTCCATATGTAAATGTTGTGGGGTAACGAACTCACAATTTTGGATCTTATTACAAATGATAACACCTTCGTTTTTATATTCAGCTTCTATATGTCTTAACTCGTGATGGCGAATATTTTGCAAATATTTTACCTAAATGGTATAAATTCAACAATATTTTGCAAGATTAGCCCATTTTCTGATAATTCTTGTTAGTTTAGCACATGAATCTTCTATAATTCATTTTTACGTGTGAGAATCTATTTTGCTGCACCACTATGCTATTATATTCGAAAATTAATTTTATGAATAGTAGTTATTCGAGTCCTTGTTCTAGGAAAGAAGGTTTTTAGAAAATCACGGTATTTTAGACTTTAGTGATTCTTATGCTATTTGATAATCGACGTTTGCATTGTGTATAACTACTTGAGCTCAAACGGAGACTCCGACTGTTATACGTGATGTCTAAACTTTTAGTAGTTGTTGTTCTTGCATCCACTGAATAATTTGCGACATGGGAAACAAATTGATGTAGGATTTTTGTCTTTGGAGGGACGTGCGTTTCACGTTTTTCACTTTCTATAGGATAGGATATAGATTTGTAGAATTTTAGATTGAATAATAAGTCTTAAGGAACTATTAAACCAAACTTACTAACTGTTAACGCATAACATTTTGAAATAAGTACATCTATCCCCGTCTAACTTACCTGATGTGATTTTAAGGCTATTTTGACTGTTTTCATTACACCTTTTTCTTTGATTTCATCGAATTTTGCATAGCACTCGTTAACCTTGTTTGTAACACCGAATAACAAAATTTGACGATGTTCGACAACCAGTAAGACGCTAGCTTTATAGTTTAACAAAATATTCTGTACTAGGGTACGAATTTCTCTCGATAATCTACTTGTGTCATTTGTTGAGTCAGTTGGTGATTGAAATATTTTTGAGAGAAAATTCTTCTTTATAATGTCGACAATCGTTGATTCATCTGTGCAGAATTGAAAAAGAATCGTGGGAGCATTGCGGAAGTAAGAAATGATTAAATTCTTTCCACTTTGCTGCCGTTGACACAAGATGTATACATTAGAACAGTTTTCTTCTACGTGATTCTGAATAATGTCAATGGACTCTGGTATTTTAACCCAAAAGCCTGTAAGAAAAAACGACAAATTACTGCTTGAAAATGAAATTAGATTTAACTCAACCTGTTTGTTCATCGTAAGTCTTTTGTTGCAATAAATCTATTAAACTAACAACTGCAGCTCGAGCTGCGGTAGTCTTTTCTGCTTGTTCTCCGATCAGTTGCACATCAAACAACGTCTTATTCAAAGCCGATTCACTGCTGTCATTGATAACCTTAAAATCTACATTGTAAAGCTCTTTTAATTGTTCAATGAGTTTGGTACGGAATTTTGACAGTTTTAAAAACGCGAGAAACGTCGGATTAGCACTAAGATATTGCGATGGCGATATTCTCTGTTTAGATAAAGTAGTGCTGGCTGCGTTGGAAAATCTAAACAACGTTAAAAGGTACTTTAGTTTTGATAGAAAGATATTCATATCCTTCTCCGAAGTTCCTCGAGACATTATCCTGTTTTTAAGTTTAGTTTGTGCAAGCTTCATTTCTAGTACGTAATTGTCTTGAGCTTCTTTTAACATGTCTCTGATAGGCATGCACCGATTTCGATTAAAAATCGAATAATCGGACATCGATTATCCGAAATCGAAAATAATTGAAAATGTCTTACTCTAAATACTAAACGAAATTTTTCTTATGGTAGAATACTAAAGCGACGTAAGAGTTCAGATTACTTGCGTAAAGTGTAAAATGAAGCTAATATGCAAAGTGGTTTTGCATGCAACGGTAAAGATTACAGTTACCATTTTACCATACCTTACCGGTTTAACGTTTGTTATCAATGCGTAAGAAAATTTATTAGAAAATGAGATGATTTAGAGAGCGTATTGATGTCGATATTTTAACGGTTTTTTATTTTTCTTCTTTGGCTTTTCTTTCTGTATTTTATCAGGTCAAAGAGATAATAGAGTAGATTGAAATAGTGTTTTCTTTCTTTCCCATCGTTCAAATATGGCGTATACAGTCTATCACTGCATATAGTGAAAAAAGAAACAGTAAGAGAAAGTTTACATGAGAGCACTGATCGACGTTCTTGTCCTTTCTCCTACAAGGCTCTTGTCTCTCGACATTTCAGACAAGAATCCTGTTAAAGTGGTCGGCCCCAATTAGAACACAGGAATTTTAGTGTGGAGTGTTTTTTTTAATTTTTTAAATCAAAATATGTAGAAATCGTCTTTCATCACGAAGATACTATTTCGGATGATACTATTTTTATTGAAAATAGATCTAGTTTTCACCATCATGTACGTCATACAGAAAACTGAATGACCTGTCATACATAGGATCTGTTCCTTATGATGAAGGACGATTTCTACATATATTGATTTAAAAAATTAAAAAAACACTCCACACTAAAATTATTGTGTTCTAATAAAACCACTTTGCATGTTAACTTCATTTTAGACTTTATGCAAGTAACCTGAACTCTTACGTCGCTTTAGTGTTCTACCATAAGAAAAATTTCGTTTTGCATTTAGAGTAAGACATTTTCAATTATTTTCGATTTCGATTAATTGAAATCGGTGCATGCCTAGTCTCAGCTTCATAGCACTGGCGCTTCCTGAGTTTTCTGAAGCGCTCGGCGTCTAGCCTAAGCACATTACACCCCCTTAAGCTTCATTGTAGTCTATTAAACTTTTTGCTATAGGTACTCCTGGACCTATCTTAAAACTACTTCTTTTACTTTTGAAAAATACTGCTTTATTCAAAGTTGTAGAAATAATATTGAAAAACCATCGAAATCTTAAGGTTTGTTTGTATCTTAAAAATCCGGATGCAAATAATTACAACAAAAATAGTTTTCAGATGTTGTGGTGCCCTTATATACTTTCAGTAAAAATTATAACTAACTCATTATGTAGAGGACACCTCATTGTATACTAGTAGAAGTTTATCCCTAAATGGAAAGAATTTTCACTCACGAGGGAACCACCCCAGGTGTCCACCTCTGATTTCCTTCATTCGTACCTCGTTTTATAGAGCACATCAAGCTGGTAAAAAGCCTAAAAGGATTTTTGCGCATGGCTCTTGAAGTCCCGGTTTTCTGCAAAACCAGTTTTTGAGAAATTCTAAAAAATAATCAAAACCTTTCATATTGAGGTATAATTATAGCCTGCAGATTTCTGATTAAAATGAGACGTCTCCCAGCTCTACACGACCTCTCTTTACAAAGTTACAGAATTTACAAGAAAAGTCCTAAATGTTCATTGTCAGCTCAAAGCTGTAGAAATAAGAAGAAATTAATTTAGGACTTTTCTTGTAAATTCTATAACTTTTGCAAAGAAAAAAATCATGTAGAGCTGGAAGACGTCTCATTTTAATCAGAAATGTGCGGGCTGTAATTATACCTCAATATGAAAGGTTTTGATTATTTTTTAGAATTTCTCAAAAACTGATTTTGCAGAAAACCGAGACTTCAAGATCCATGCGCAAAAATCCTTTTCGGCTTTTTACCAGCTCGATGTGCTCTATAAAATGAGGTATGAATGAAGGAAATCAGGGTTGGGCATCTGGGACGGTTGCCTAGTCAGGAGAAGCTACCTTTAAAAACGAGATACTTACTGTTGTTCGACAGTTGGTTTTGATAAGTTTAAATCAATCGTGGTCGTGGGCAGAGCGAGAGACATTGTTGGTGTTGATGTAAAAAGTAATCTCGTACTTTGTGATTCTTGAAATGGTTTTGATGCATTTGAACAATTCAACTGTGAGACTTTTGTGCTCTTTGTTGAAAAATATTTAGCATCAATGTCATCCATGCGATTCTATTTAGATAATTTTAAATGATCAGTTCATTAATAATCTTTGATCACTAACACTTACGGTTTGAAGAAAGGGATCTTGCACTACTGGTTTTTGAGTATTTTTATTAAAAGCCGTAGTTGGTCTACTTTGTTCAATTCTAGCAGTTGTAGGTACAGCCGCTGGTGTGTTCGACGATGCAAATATATCCATGAGATTTCGATCCTGAAATAAAACAAACCTATTTCGAAAAATCAGATAAATGAACAAAAGTTGATTAGAATGAAATGCACTCAAAAATGCTTTACCGCGAACGTTGCTTCATTGAGTCGAGCGACACGTTCCTGTTGTGTGTTTTTTCGTAAGGCTGCTGCCTAAAAAAAAACTAATGAAACGTTACAGTAAAAGTGCGAGTTATTAAAGTCGGTTAGGCGTACGACAGTTAAATAAGCTTTTTCGGCCATTTTTACGTTTGTGCATGAAGATAGCAAACTCCAAGTGTATATTTATTATATACCATAGTTAGTGTGGCAGGAAGGCGACTTTCAGAAGCTTCGAACTTTAAATGCTGACACCTGGGAAGAGTTTAACCCTCAACTTTTCAAGCGCTATGGGCAATCTCCAGAAGCCTACCTATCAGCTAAACCTGAAGTCCGGGAACCTTCAGAACACATGAAACATAGATTTTCGATCATGGAGATTCTCGTGGCAATGTGTGTTTTGTTGTTCGGATTAAATAAACTTCAAAAGATGACTTTTTCAAAAACCTTGATTTTTCTTCTGTGATCATCTAAAATAAAAACCTTCTGGCGCTTTCATTTCTGTACGAAATTGCTTCAAATTTTCAGAATTCACTGACTTTTACCTGCTGTACAGTTCAGGAATATTAGAATCATTTCTCATACTGAGATTTCATGTAGAGATTTTCAGACGTTTTCTGAAAACCTGTCGAAGATCTACTTTGTTTTTTGTAGTTCCGTCATGCGATAAGATGAAACACTTGCCCTTATGCCCACTCACCTTTCCTGCAATTTGGTTGAGAAGTGAAGATGATAAATGGTTTTTATTTTAACATGGTCTCAAAGGAAAAATCAACTTTTCTGAAATGTTCATCTTTTGAAGTTTGTTTAATCCAAACACCAAAATAAACAATGCCACGAGGTTCCATATACTCGACAATCTATGTATCCTGTGCTTCGAAGTTTCCTGGACTTCAGTTTTAGCCGACAGATAGGTATCCGATGATTGCCTGTAGCGGCCGAATCACGGTAGATGGAGACCTGGGTTTACGCCAGGTTGTAGACCGACACGTGTTGTGTATTCACATGTGTTTAGAGCAGTCCTTTGCAGTGCAGATTTTTGAAACGGCAGGCTCGGATATTGTATTTCGAAAGGTACACCGTGGTAAATTTCTTTCGTGGGATTATAGGTTCAAAGGCTCTCTGTCAAATGCTCAAAACGGAAGGACTGTGTCTCATTCTTATCAAAAGTTATTCATAAAGTATCCCTTAGCACTCTCTTTTGGCGGCGACAGCAGTAACGATTCGCTGCACGGTTTTATAAACATGTAGGAAACGACCAGATACATGTCTTTCCTGCTGAAGCTTAGTTTCAAAAACTTGGAGAGATCTACTTGTAAAGATACGTGAAAGTAAGCTGTTAAAATGATAACTTTAGGATATCACAATTTTACCTCTATTGCATTATTCCAGAAATCATTTGATAACGCACCTGCCAAAGCACATAGAATAAGAAAATGTATTAATTTACTGACATATGCACTTGAAATTTGGATGCTCTTCAGGAATTAACATCCTGAATTTCAGAATCAACGGTTGAACTTTGATGTACCTGTCTCGATTTTTTTCGTACTTGTTGTATTTAGTGCAAAGGCATCTTTGTTATCTTCCCTACGAGTTTGAGATGTTGGTGGTCGTTTTGCGAAATTATCCATTAATTGAAACCGAAATTGTCGAACTTTCTCATACGTGAAATGAACAACAGTTATCAAATTTTGCCATTTTTTATATAGTTGTTCCAACGACCCAGAACTACAGACAGATCTGAAAAAAAGCATACACCATCTTTAGAACTGGCTAAAATCTATCAAACTTCGCTAACTGTTTGTTGTTAATCTCTCAAATAACGTTGTTTGGACTCAAACACCAGCTCAGTGGCGTATCCAGATAGTGGGCAATTGGGCAAGTTTTTTGAGATAATGGCAATTGCCCACTGCAAAACGATTTTGATACTCGTGTACGTTTGATGACTTAAATGATGTGATTTTAATGAACTTTTCAAGATGAGATCTAATCAGTTGTTGCACAAAAATCAATCGGCAGTCTTTTCTATTTAACCAATGATCTCAATGATGACGATTCAATAATACCCTGTCGTTAAAATACTCGGTACTACATAAAAATTCGCTGATGAATGCTTAGCTGTTCAACACAAAGAAAGCGAGCAAGCTGTTCTGTTAGTTGATGTTGACGAATTTCTCTTCCGTAACCATCGGCTTTTATAGTGTCAATAAGTTTTTAAAAATTATTGCCCATTGCTGCCCACCTCTCAAAATAATCTGACTGGAGAATTGCCCACTAGTTAAAAATTTCGGAATACGCCACTGCACCAGCTCCAATAAACAAAAACTTTATTATTAGCATTGACTAATCTAAATAATCGTATCTGGTCTTATACAAAAAACGCTAAAGAATCATTGAAAAGTTCACATCCGCACCTGAAGTGTGGATGTGAACTTACAAAACATGTAAAAAAGTGCAGTGAAAAACATTTTCTTTCTATCGAAAACGCAAAAAGAAAAAATGCGAGGAAAAAAATATAAAATTACATATAACGTTGGAAAGTTTATTTCAGACCACAATTTAAATTGAAAAACCTAGTAAAAATAAGAATTTTATTGTGTTTGAAAGGATGCAATAAAACTGAAACTCCTTTCCTAGAGGACAAATTTTCTGGATTTGACAAGAAAACAGAGAAGGCTGCAACTCTAGTGGCGCAATAGAAAATATCGTCTAAAATCTTTATTCATATCGTTGCAAGATAAGAACTTAAACTATTCGAATATAGTAGCCTTTTGATGAGCAAGAGAAACATATGGATCTATAAAGAAAGAACTAGCAATACCGTCTTTTCGCAAAGAGTTTTGGCTTTTTGTCTTACTTTATTTTATTTTTTTCTGTCCCTATTTTTGATAAAACAAAAATGCAATCGTTTCTGTTATACAGAACCATGAGCAGCAACAGTTTTTTGAATTCTTTAAGTTGTCATGGTTCTGAATAATAGAAATGATTGCATTTCTGTTTTATCAAAAATAGGGACAGAAAAAAAGAAAAGAAGTCAAAAGTCTTTGCGGAAAGACGACATTGCTAATTCTTTATTTATAGATGCATATGTTTCTCTCTCTCAGCAAAAGGCTGCTACATTCAACAAAACGTATGACAATAACATTAGACGCATAAATGTTGTGTGCCTCATTCCATCATTTTCTTTTACGATGTAAGAATGATTATGAATGATTTAAATATTCAAATATTATAAATGGTTATCAGAAAGTGGATTCCACTTAATGAAATAATACGAATAAGTCGTTTTACCCTTTTCTTATAACCTTTTTCAGTTTTTTAAATAATAAATCTTTAGAAAATTACATCCTGATCTATTCCGAATGGTTATTTTTGTGAGAAATGAATTATTACGTTCTTTTTATTCAATTGTTTCTCTCACTTAAAACAACCAGCATTCTTTAAGTGCTAAAACACAGCGTCTAATCACTACTTAAAAAAACAATTTAACATTTACATTTTTAGCTTTCATGCCCTGAAGTAACGAAAAGCAAAAAAAAATCAAATAGTAAGTGCATAATAACCTGTCAGTTGGAAAAAACCGATTAAAGAAAATGTGTCATACACCTATACCTGTTATTCAAACAGAAAATTTCTTCTACGTCATTACGGAAAAGTCAGATTCTTTCTTTAAATCGATAAAATTTTCATAAAAAGTTAAATACACATATATACGAAGATGATACCGTAATGTACTTCAGCTCACAATGTCCAGTCGAAGTAGTAAATGTGATGAGCTACGATTTACCGGTTGCGTATGACCGGTCCATTCAATGATAATGATCATTGAATCTTTCTAAATGTGTCATCATGTCTTTCGGTAAAAAGATCTATAATTAATGATTTGTTTATCCATACACGCAAGCTAAAAGTAGTTAACGAACATTAACATAGAGACATAATATGTGGATGGTGATTTTAATTTAATTAATGCCCTAGAAGTATTTTTCACATCTTTCTTATTATTTGATTTTGATAAAATTTGAATTATAACATTGACTGAAACATTTATAGCATCGTGAGCGACTTTCGATAACTTTTCTGATGGTCTAACTGCATAATTTTCTTCCAATGTTTCAAAATCACAATCGAAAGTAGCCATATCATGATCAAATTCTGTGTTCTCATCACAAAATAACGAACATTCCTCTTCATATATGTCTTGTTCTCTCAATTCGTTCCATTTTTTAAAATACTTATTCTGCGTAAGTTCACTTTGTGTTCTTCAAAATAACAAGCGTTTCGTCCATGTAGGTCAGAATAAAATAAATAAAAATATGTACGGAAACATGTCTAAAGCAGACAGTAGAAATTTACATTTGACCAAAAGTTGTCGTGTGAGTGAAATTTGCAATGTTAAGTTTCACAGAAACCGAAAAAAGTAAACCACAGAGAGCGGAGGGGTATAATAAACGTTTAAAAAGTATATTCCCTATTCAAAACACACACTAATGAATTTATTGATCCATGTTACGTCACGAACATGTCTTTCAGCACCGTCACGCAAAAGAATCTGAAATCCAAACTCGTAAACGGGAATAAAATTACAATGAAATTCATGAAAAATTGAAAAGTACTCATGAAAAAGAGAGATAACAAACCTACAATTAGTCATAAAATGCAGTCGTAAAAAGAATGAAATTTCAAGAACCCACTGAAAAAAAATTTACGAAATCCTGCGTTAATTTGTAGGAATCTGAAAAAATCCTGTGAATGTAGGATATATGCTGCAGATTTTCACGTTTTTTTTCACGTTACCGCGCCGAAACTTTTTCTACAAGTTGGTGAGTATAATAGAGCAGGATTCTTTAACACGCTTACTTTCCAAGTGTCTCTCCTGCACGACAGGATGCTGGTTCCTATAGGCACACCATGCAGGAGCTTTTACGTGCGTTCATCGGATATATCTCGCATTTACGGCCCTTAAGGGCCGTAAAATTCATATGGAATAAAGACAATGTATCAATGATATTTTTTTGTTTCCATTTCTGATAGTTAAGTTAAATATAAGAGAACTTCTGCAGAATAAGTATTTAAAAAATGAGACGAACTGAGAGAGAACAAAATTCGGACGAACTGAGAAAAAAATTTGTGCGACGAATTAAAAGAGAGTAATTAGGGACGAATCGAGAATAAACCGTATATCTATCGGCTTTTCTCGTTCTAAATATGCTCAAACAACAAGTAAAACACCGTTTATTTAATGGAGATAGAAGCTTTATGAGTCAATATTGAAACTTACGACCTTTTTATCTTCCTTTTTTCTGTATATTAACACAAGAAAATATGCTCACATGTACACTCGAAAGAAGAAGAAAAGAAAAACGTGGACACCCACTGAAAAAAATAATCAAAATTTATTCAGGATCCCGCGGGTTGTCGGTATTAAAATATCTGGGGATGTTTCCTACCTTTACGCAGGATGCTTATACTGTTAGCCCTGACAGAATCCTGCATCGTTTATGTAGGGTTAGCATAGAAAAAATCCTGGGTAAAGGTAAGAAACATCACACGACTTTTGGACTTATTCAATCCACAAGTTTTCCTACGAGATCTGGCAGGATTTTGTTAGTTGAAATAAAAAGGATTTTGTTCTCCATGTGTATTCTGCGGTATCCAGCAATATTTTCTCATCAATGTTTGCCCAGGGTGACCGTGGAGGAATTTGTCTGTATAATTTATTTTTGGAAGGTTAGTAATTTTGCAAATTTTCTTATAAAGTTATAAAAACTTTTCTCGAGCCCGATAACCTTCTAGAAAATGTATCCCTTAATATTTTGACTTTAACACGCATTTTCATGTGTAC